AAACAACTTAAGGGTTGTTTAACAGCAGATGAATGGATAAAGAAAATGTCTATAAAATAGAATATTATTTATCCTTAAAAGGGAAGGACATTCTGTCATTTTCAATGACATAGATCAACCTGGAGGACATTATGCTATGTGGAATAAGCCAGACACGGAAATGCTGCCTAATTTTGCTTAAATTGGAAGCTAGAAAGAATCTAACTCAGTAATAGAGAGTAGAATGGTGTTTGCCAAGAGTTTGGGGTGGCTGTGGGAGAAAATGGAAAATATTTGTCAACAGATACAAATTTTCATTTTTAAGATGAATAATTTCTGAGGTTCCAATGTAATAGCATGGTGACTACAGTTAATACAAATGTATACTTGAAATTTGCTACTGAAGTAGATGTCACATATTCTCACAAAATACACACACAGAAGCTAAGTATGCAAGGTGATCGTTATTTTGACATGTTAATTAGCTTGCATGTAGTCATCATTTCACAGGGTACATGTATACCAAATCATTACATTATATACCTTAAATACATCCTAACTGTATTTGTGAACTATATCTCTAAAAAGTTGGAAAAAAGAGAACTATGGGCAAATTATACATAATAATAAACATAAAAAAATTTTTTGAAAACAGTTCTAATACTGCTGGAATATGAACTACAGCCAGTATTTGAGTAGTAGAAATTAGATAAGAGGGCTTTCGGTGTTAAACTAGAACAGGAAGAAACATAGAGTAATGACAGCAAACAGTGAAGCTATAGGATAATAATTCCTCTTCAGTAACAAGAGGCCCCACCACTGCTTTGGACTCCAGGAAGCACTCAGACATTAACAGTTGTAAAGTGTGCCCGGCATGCTAAGAAGAGGGTGAACTGACAGACCCTTCTGTCCATCAAATCATCCACAGCCTGGTTATCTGTGCCTCTGCTAGTAATTGTGCCTCAAGTATCCATAAAATCTAGGGTCAACTGCTAGAAATTTTGCAAGAACAAAGGCCCAGGAGATGCACTTGCATCTTGGTGAGTAGCCAAAGTTAGCTACAGGGAGCTGAAGCAAGAGACTAAAAAAATGAGAAGTCTTAGAAAACTTTCTCCAGTCCTTGAGGATCTGAAGGCCTATATGTGACTGATATTTGGAGAAGAATGGACCTAGTTTTTTCCCCACTCCAACCAACCAAAATCTTTGTTGAAAGGCATATTGTGTATTGTCATTAATTCTGGGAAGGCCAGGACCATTGGTCTTCATGAAGTGTGACTATGAAACATGAAAATCAGACAAGGCAATCTTGCTCTGAGGAGTGCTTCTAAGAGAAAATGAAGACACCTGCCCTATAGGGTGTCTTCTTTATGGAAGACATGGCGCTGTCTAGTCATTCTTGCTGGCACCAAATGGTGATATTCTAAAGAGCTGGTATAATACATTAGAGTTGCTAAATATATAAAGCAGTAGCTGTGTGTCAATTATGCTTTATTTCATCTCTCTCTTATCCATTAGCTATATTAAAACAGCAAGGCATGAATGTCATGATAATAAAAAATCCAGGTAAAAATTCAAAAATCAAGTGGTGGCTGTACATATTATTGTAATTATAAAGGAAAGGACAGTGTATCTTTATTTTATGAAAGCCAATGAAATAAATCAAACTTCTACAAAATTATTTGGTATAAAAAACTAATAATGTGTTTCTTTTTGAAATAAATTTTTAAATTTTAGAATAAATTTGGCTTACAGAAAAATTATAAACATGCTAAAGAGAGTTTCTCACACACCTATTTCTCAGTTTGTTTCCCTTAACGTATTCGTCCTTCATTAGCATATACACTTGTCAAAACTAAGAAATTGAAATTGATACATCACTATTAACTATTCAGATTTTGCCATTTTATTCAGATTTTATTATCTTTTCCATTAGTATTACTTTATGTTCCAGGATCCAATTCAATATACCATACTCCATGAAGGTATCTTGTCTCTTTAATCTCCTTTGATCTGATATTTCTCAGTCTTGTTCATAACTGTAAGCATTTTTAATGAAGGGAAATAGGATTTACAGAGGTGCAGAACAATTGTTATTTTAAAAATGCTCTTTATCAAGAAAAATTTTTGTTTCCTCATCCTGGTCAATGTGATGTGTTAACAAATAGTGAAATATATTGGCTTATTAATCGCAAGTAAAATTTGTTCATCACAATCTAAAATTCACCAATACAAGGTTTGTAGTGGACAAGAAATTAAAATAAGAACCAAAAGGAAAGGCAGGAACACACTGTGAAGAAACTTAAAGGCAGACTGAGAAACTTGGAGTTTACTCCACATTGGAAACCACTAGATATCTGAGGCACAGAAGTCATTTATATTAATCCTCTTTGCCCCCAGATATTAGTTGCCTCCGGCCACTCTGAATGGCATTCCTATCTGAATAACCCGGGTGGATCCAGTACTCCCACCTCTTGTACTGATGCAAGAGATTAGAAGCTTCTCCAGATATTGTACTAGCAAAGGGAAATTACAAAAGACTTGTATTATGTAAGCATACTTTGAAAGATTGGCAGATTACAAACATGGTCTAAAAGAAACAGGATCAAATGAACCAAAGATAAAATAAAGTTCTATATCTAGGTTTATGGGAAAATCAGTTACATAAATGGAGGATGGGGAATACTTAATCTGATAATCAATAATACTTCATTTGAAAAATCTTAGTAGGTTTTGTGATCTAAATTTCAATATGAGCCCTGAAGGTCATATGCTTATTACAAATTCAGTCCAAGTCTAGGGAGGTGCCAATCTCACCATGGTACACAGGACTCAAACTCATTCATGGTTTATTGAAAGAAGAATATGTGCAGAACACTGGCTAAACCCTATTTCATACATTAAATCAGAATTAGAGGTGTTTTAAAGCATTTTATACTAAAAATCTTGGAAAATAAAGAAAAGCACAATGAAGAAATTCAACATCATGTTTTTACTTCCTATTAACTGGAGTTAACCTATAAAGGAAGTTTATATAAGAGCTGTAATAGCAATGCCTAGAGGAGAACTCTCCTCTCCCTGTTTGGAATCCCATTTTGGAAACTTATTCTACAGGGACACTGGATAGCTGAGTTTTGATGAACTTTATATCCAGTCATTTTGAAAATTAATATAACAAGATACTTATATTGTTTAGGCATGAATAAATATGCATATTATATTACAACTTTTAATAAGTATGGACTAGCAAATAATGCATGATATCCTTGGTAGTATCCTTTTGTAAATTTTAAGTAATATAAAACAATAAAGTTAGATTCCACATCTTGAGCAACAGTTGGATCCCACATCTGGAGATAGAATCTTCATTGTCTTCAGAGTTCTGGTTGTTCGGTGACAGTGGGGAGTTAAATTTCTGAAAATCATACTGAAATACCCTCTAACCATCTCTCTTTTCAGATGAATAAAGTTATACATAGTATTCACTAAGAAAAAATCATTTAAATAAATATTTTGATAGAAATGCTTTGCCACAGAATGCAATTTACAGGAGAAAGCAGTCCAGCATAGCTACAGTCAACATTTTAGTCAAATTACTTCTAGTGTTGTTTAAACAAGCAAATATGGCTAATGCTTTTGATACTGTTATATAACATATTTTTAAAAATTATGTTAGGAGGCCAGGTGCGGTGGCTCACACCTGTAATCCCAGCACTTTGGGTGGCCGAGGTGGGTGGATCACGAGGTCAGGAGATTGAGACCATCCTGGCTAACATGGTGAAACCCCGTCTCTACTAAAAACACAAAATATTAGCTGGGTGTAGTGGCAGGTGCCTGTAGGCCCAGCTACTCGGGAGGCTGAGGCAGGAGAATGGTGTGAACCCAGTAGGCAGAGCTTGCAGTGAGCCAAGATTGTGCCACTGGACCTCAGCCTGGGTGACAGAGTGAGAGTCTGTCTCAAAAAAAAAAAAAAAAAAATTATGCTAGGAACATTTTTTCTTTCATCATCTCTATTTAGATCACTTTATTTCAATTTCTGCATAGTTTTCCAAGTAATATATGACCTACAATTTGTTTAACTAGTGCCCTGTTTGTGAAAGTTAAGTATATTTCTCTGTTTCTGTATTTATAAGTAAAAGTGTCTATCTGCACAAATCTTTCCGAATTAGAATGGTTGCAACACTTTTAGGATTTGTAATACATGTTTTCAAAATATTTTTCTGGCAAGGCTGAGCCAATTTGTATCTCTCTGCACACTAATAAAGTATGAGGGGTTTAGTTGCCGCACCTACCAGCCCCACAAATAGGCATGACACACATGCCTTGCCTACATGGTTCCAAACTACATTCGTTCATTATATGTATTCATAGCCATCATACCCTAGATACTGTTCCTGCTCATGGTAATAAAAGGATGTAAAAGAAAATCTGATCCTGTTTCCATGGTACGTATAGTCTAATTAGGGAAACAGAGTATTGAAGAAACAACAGCTCTCAGTCATTAGTTCAATGTGGACACTGGCCACAGTAAATTAGAAAATAAATCTAGAAACCCCTATGGTTCATCAGATGATATGTTTCAAACACAAAAGTTCCTAGTTTCTCATCTCTTTGTCTGTAACACACACTAGAATGATCACCTCCTGGGCCTTTGCTACCCAATAGGCTACAGTAAGTGACCTGTGACTGGAAGAGGTATTATCAAGAAGTTTTATGTTGCTTTTCCATAATGAAGCCCGTGATTCCTTAAATGGAACCATGCCTATGCAAATTACAATGGGGCAGACAATAGTGGACCCAGCTCTATCCTGTATTTTATGGCGCTGTCCTGTAGAAATCCAGTTTCTAGTTTGCAACCTATCCTTCTTTCTCCTCTTGGACTAGTTACAAGGAAGTATTCCTAGTACCTTGGTGATGTCTTTGAAATTCTGGCCCCTAATGTAGACCCTAAGAACTCCACTGGACTTCATAGAATATATCGATGCCAAGTTTAGTAATATTTTACTAGACTTTGCACATCCCATCTACACATTTCTGATAGCTTTCTTGGGGTGAGGATCCTGGCACTGGTACAGGTGCAGAGTACAGCATAGGACTCTCTTGACCTCTTGATTGTGCAAACAGTAAATGATGGGGTTGAGCAGTGGTATGATGACTGCATAGAGTACAGAGACTAGCTTGTTGATGTCAAAAGCTGAGAGTGCCTTTGGCCGGGCATAGAGGAAGATACCAGCTGTATAGAAGATTATCACAACAGTGAGATGAGAGACACAGGTGGAAAAGGCCTTATAGCGTTCAGCAGCTGAAGGAATGTGCATCACAGCACCAGTAATGGCCATGTAGGAGGCCACAGTGACAGAGAGTGGCCCTAGAAGAATAAAAATGGCCAGAATGAAATCTGTAAGCTCTACTGTAGACATGTCAGTGCATGAGAGGTTGAGCAATGGAGACACATCACAAAAAAAGTGGTTGATGATGTTGGGGCCACAGTAAGGTGAGAAATAAGAAAAACTTTGACCATGGAGATGCCAAAACCTCCAGCCCAAGATCCAGCGACCATCTGCACACACAACTGGCCACTGACAATGACTGGGTAGTGGAGAGGATGGCAGATGGCCACATAGTGATCATAGGCCATAACAGCGAGAAGGACACACTCAGTGCAGCCCAAGCCAAGGAAAAAGTAGAGCTATGTCATGCATCCCTCAAAGGAGATTAGCCGTCCATGATCCTGTTGGACCTAACAAAGCCAGCAAGCATCTCGGGAATAGTGACAGTGATGTACCAGATCTCCAGAAAGGACATATTAGCTAGAAAGAAGTACGTGAGTTTGTGGAGGGTGGAATGGTTCCTAACTGCCATAATGACGAGTGTGTTCTCAGTCAGCACCAACACATAGGCCAGGAGCAAAAGGGCAAACAATAGTACCTGTAGCGGCACAGGAGCAGGGAAGCCCAGCAACACAAACTCACTCACTCTCCCACTATGGTTCCTCCACTCCATGTCATTGGTCTTTCTTACTGCTCTCCAGGACATGAGAATAGAGTCTTCAGTAGGCCGCAACAAGAACCCAGTCTCTCTTAGTGGGTTTATACTGGTAGAATGCTATGTATGGAGTTCATGTAATTAATCACAGAACTGAGGCCACTGCTCTCTTTTTAAATCTGGAAATGAGCTAAGACAAACATGTAGAAATAAATGGTTTTGTATTGGGGACAAGATAGGAATCTGTTCTGATCTTTGGAGAAGCATGCATTGACAAGCATAAGGTAAAAATGACGCCAGTTTGTCCCCAAAGAACACAGATAAAAACCAAAAATGGAAAGGGAGTCTGGGTGGCCTAAAATGAGAGTTTGTCTATGAGTTGGATCATGACTTTGTTTTGAGGAAATAAGTTACACAATGGAGGTATAACAATCACGTATAACGCAGTTGAGTTATTATTAGTTCAGACACTGCTCTAAACATTTGCAGTATCAATTCACTTGATCTTCAGAACAATCCTGTGAGCTAGTACTACTAATAGCTACAACTTAATGCCTAAAGAAACTAAAATATAGAATTAAGTGACTAATTCTGGGTTGCAGAAATAGCAAGAAGTGGAACCAGGAAGTCAGGACCTTGGAGCTTCCAAAATATTTAGATGACGTAAAGGAGGGACTGTACAATACATCTTGGATTTACAGCTGGGAGAGAGGATCTTTGGGACTCATTTAGAGAAACAGTTCTTCCTGCCAGATGGAAAGAAAAACAAAAGCAGAACACAAGAAGTTCACAGCACCTGTAGAGTGGAAGTCTATAGAACCCAGTACTTACAAGGAAGACTTGGGATTCACCTGGAAATCAGATTAGGAAATGGATGATGGATGGCAGAAAGACTAAGAATTCCGTCAGTTCTGAACGTTGTACTGAGTATCTTGAAATAAGAATAGAGTACCTTTGTTTAACATTAAGGCCCACATAAAAACATGCATTTACTAGGATACTCTCTTTGTATAACTTTGTATCAAAGATAAAATTTCCCTTTCTCTTTAAAAACTTCAAGCCATTTTTGTGTCTCATGACGAAAAGAAGTTGGCATTTTTACATGGGAGTTGATATGAAGGAAGGGTTATTTTTACCTTGTGCCCCTGTACAGTTTCAGCATTGGGAGAGAGTGTAGAGTTTCGAAAGGAGAATGGTGTAGAGTCAGCTGAGCATCTGGATCTAATCTTCTCAGATTTCTTAATTTTTAGTCTTAGATCTGTTCCTCTGAAGTTAGCAGGGTTAGAATGTGCTCTCAAATCAAACCAACCTACTAATGATTTTATACCATGTTTCTCTTCCCTTCATGCTCTGCTGTCATTACTTGACCATTACTCAGTACTGGAGTCCTTGAAGTTTCTCTTAATATGGTAATGCAATTACAAAACACCTACGTCCCTGGCTTTCATTTCCCATCACTCCCATTCTTACCATCCACACCCACAATTTTACTTATTTCAAAATTTATGGTTGATCAACAATGCTCTAGACCATGGGCTAAGAGTTGTGGTATACAAAGGTTCATGGACACATGCTGAGACTTCAGGATCTTACAATCTAGTTGTAGGGGCATATCTTATCTTTTCATCCATGAAAGTTTAAGCCACATGTCTATCCCTATACCATACATGTGGATACATAGAAAAGTGGGAACATTAAACCTACACTTGCCATTTATGACCTTAGCCTTGATCCTTTCTCAATACCTGCCTCATACCCTTCTTTGTGTTTTTGATTCTCTTGGCCTCAGATTTTCATTCATATTTTCTAGCCACTTCAACCTTCATGTTTGATGTTCTGCACACTTGAAAAAAATAGCTTTTCACACATGGACCCCTAACTGATCTTTCTGCTTATAGTTTTACCCTTAAAGGTGAGACCTTAGCTCAGAACTGGCCATTTTAGTCCCCTCCTTAAAACTCATCCATAGTGCCCCTTTGTGTACACAATAAAGTTTCAAATTATTTAGCCTACAGGTACAAGGCCTATAGGCACTTCTTGATTTTGCCACTGCTTTCACCTAAACCTTATTTCTTACCACAGTCTACAGTGTACTTTATACCCTGCAGTTCTCATCACACACCACGTGTATCACCTCATAGCTTTCCTCATGCGGCAATCTCCCTGAGTATGGCTAACTCCTATTTAACCTTCAAGTCTTGGCTCATGGGGTATCTCCCCATAGAGACATTAGTTACCCTGGTTTCTTCCTTTTCCCTTCACAGGTTTGGTGAGATTCCTCTGGTTAGAGCTCCCATTAGAGTCCATGAAAGCCTATATATCATTTTGCTTGCTGTATCACTGCTGTTGTTGCTCAGGTAGATGTAAGAAGGACCTCCGTAGCTGAAGTGGCCCCACATGTCCTTAATGGTGGAGTATGGAGTGGATAGTGGATATAATTCCATGGGTGTCATGGGTACCACAAATATACTATGTCTAGAATAACCTTCCCCAAGCAAGTTATTCCTCTATTACAATAAATGGCATTAGCTTTCATACAGTCTCCTAAGCAAGCCATTTGGAAATTTCCTAGATATTCCGTACCCATCCTCCTCTCCCCCCACACACATCCCACACTTAACTAATCCAATTTCTAGCTAAAATGCCTCTTTAATGATCTCTCATATCAGTCCCTTTTCTTCTGCCCTATTTCTACTGCCTTCCTCCTAGTTCCTCACAGCAGGTCCTTGGTATCTCTTGATTTAACTACTTAAATAGGATCTTACTTGGTCTTTTTTCCTCCAGTCTGTATTCTCATCTATATAACTTCCACTTATTATTAGAGTCATATTTCTCTGTAGAAACCGCTGACCACAATGGCATCCGGTTTTTGAGAGCACATACAAAATCCTCCCATAAAGCATCAAATGTATGTCCTTTTAACTGTTATACAACAGTTCAGTCATTGTCCACTATTTACCATTTTCTACACATGTCATGGTATTATCTAACTCCGTAACTTTACACATCTCTCTGCCAAAAACACTCACTCCAGGAATTTTTATTTTTTATGTTTTAGTCCCTTAGTTATCACCCCTCCCAAAGTACCCCAATTCCTATGCACTAGATTATTTGCTAGTGTGTCTGTCTTGCCTTCTGACAGTGGTTCCTATTATAAGATCTGCTTTAGTTACTGATTATTAAAGGTGGCTGTATGGATGCTTGAATGCATGGAAAAATGCACAAAGCTGTGATGCGGGCAGAACAGATGAATTCCAGATAGGAGGAATGGAATATAAAGATGGAAGAATGTAAAAGGGATCTGGGTATAAATGGTCAGGAATAGAGAATTTAAGTGGTTAACTGAGAATATGACACAGCTGGAATTATATGCAAGTAAAACATACATTGATTTTAGATCTGCAGGGACTAGATAAAACATGAGGAAGTTAGATTAAATTAAGGAAGATTGGACTTATGTGAATAAGAGGTATAATATTTGGGTAGAATGAACTTGCTATTCAGGAAATAAATCCAATGGGAGACAAGGTGAAGATAACTAGAATATGGAAAGGATAGACTGGACATGGATGTTCAGAAATACTGTAGGGAGAGCAGGTAGATTATGAATAAATAAAGGACCAGCTATGAGAGGAAAAGATAAAGAAAGTGATATTAGTCTAAGTATCAACAGAATTAACCATATGTGGAAAATATTGAGGGATTTGGGATTTTATTAGCTATAGAGAGGAATAAGAAGATGGATATATTAGACATAAGTAAAGAAAACCTGGGATAATTGACCACTTGAAGAAGAATCAGCAGATCCACTCACTTTATTCAGATGTCACTGACTCATCAAGGTCCTCCTGAGATAGCTGGGTTGGTTAGGAGAGGACTTAAAAGATGTTTGGAAAAGAAGGTTGAAGCATCAGGACAAAGAAAGATGATAAAGAGATTCCACTTTCTCTTCCTCCCATAGATAGAGAACACTGCCAAGCTAGGAAAGATTCCTTTATCCTGCACCTCACTCCTTCAGTCCCCATCTTCCCCTCCTCCTTCTGATGCTTTGGGATGGCTCTGAGGCAGAAGCCCAAGAGACCAAAAGAGATACAAGAGGGAAAAAAAGACTGGGGCAGAGGACAGGGAAGGGGAAGGTTTGGAAAGCTCAGGTCATAGGGTTTTATCAGGAAGTTTCATGAAAGAGAGAATGTCAAGATACCCCTGAACTCATATTTCCCTCTCTTGCCTTCCTGTTCCTTGTCAGTCTCCCCTTTCTATCATGTCATACTCCTGCTCAAAAGAAAGACACGGGCTGATATTCTAACTCAGATATGTAATTTTGGGCAATTTATTTAACCCTTTGGGCCTTACATTCCTAATCTACATAATAGGATTCATATGCTTGACAGGATTGTTGAGAGGAGTAAATGTCATTAATATATGTACAGATCCTGGAGCATGACAGGGGCTCAACAATGCTAGACAGTTCCTTCTTTGTCTCCTGATGCCATATAGTTGACACTCATTAACTCCATGATGTAATACAAGGAGCACTGAGTTGAGAGTTAGGGTTTCTGGGTTTGAGTTCCATGTTTGTATTGGATTTTTAAAAAAAATTTGGGATTTTGTTGTATTTGGTTGTTTTCCATATAATGATATCCATTATGAAAATAACATACATCATAGGCATTTTAAGTTTGTGACAAGATTTGACACCCCACTCAATCCACAGTATTCTATGTCATATTGAGGTCCAGCAAATTAATTACATGGGATTCACAGTCACATTGCTGTGTTCAACTAAGGGATCTTGTGAAAATATTTAAACTCCTTGGGCCTCTGTTTTCTCAGCTGTAAAATGAGAATAATTCTAATGTCTACTTCATAGAGTTGTTGTGAGGATTAAATTAATTAATATATGAATGGAAGTTTCTTAGAACAGCACTGAGAACATAGCATTTCTCAATAAATATTAGCTATTGTTCAATAATATTTGTTGAATCTGAGTCTGTTGGGACAGGAGAAAGAATTATTCA